AACATACAAAGTAAGAGTTTAGTTTAAGTATTTTAAATTTTTCACATATATTGTATGTAAGTTAAATGAGTGTTTATATTTTTACTTACCTAAGTTATTCTTAACACGTGTTAATGTATTCTTTGTTCTAATTAAAGCCTACATATTGTAAATAACAGATAACCTTAGCATCCATGTAAAGGAAATTAAAGTAAATACCACTTTGACAGGTCTATGAAAGTACATACTCCGCCATCTAGCGGCGAATAGCTCCATACTTGCGATTATCATTACATTTTTAAATTCATGATAAATTAAAAATCATTGGTTTTTTTGTTTCAGTGAATTAATAAAGCGATGTAAAGTATTGTGCTTTATTATCATGCGGTTTATTTAGTCGGAACTTATATTTGCATACTTTGCAACATTTAGTGTTTATCTTTGACACTAGATGGCAGCACTAGTAGCTAAAATTAAAAACTTGTCAAGTATTGGTGTTTTTTTACTATACATTCTTAAATTTTTGTTGCAGAGCCATTAACAACTTTATAATTATTTTGACTTTATGATTTTTAAGTATTTTTGATATATGAGATGATGTAATTAAAATAATTAAATAAAATAATTATTGTTCGTTCGATACACTTCGGGTAAATTGTTATAAAATATTTTTCTCACTTAATTTAAAGTACGAGGTCAACGAACTGAAAGCGTGATCTTGATCCATATTCTGCGATTTTGGATAGCTTAGTTATAATCAATCTTGTGTGAATGAGATAGAGTTTATTTTTAAATGTACTTACAAGAAATAGCCCGTACCATGTAATTTTTTCGTGATTATCAATTGTTTATTTTTCAAACTAATGTGACACGTAATTCGAGGGGTATAAGGTTTATTTTGAAATGGTTAAATATGAATATAATTTTAATACATCGATCCATTTTTGGAAAAACAGATAATTATATTATTGTGTAATAAGTTAATTTATATGCGACTTTAAAATCATATTATAGTAATTCAATTATAGTTATATTTTATAAGTATATTTATCCAATGATCTTACTGTAAAGGAAAACATCGTGATGCAACCTGAACATATCAGTGAAGAAATTCAAAGATATATTTGAAGTCAACCCGCACTGAGCAAGCGTGGATGACTATGACCTACTTACATATCTTAGGGTAAGCTCTGAACCCCTCAGTGGGGACGTATAGTAAGCTGATGATGATGGAAAGGGACATTTTCTTTCTGTGCATCCTCTCCTCCGTCGATTAAAGGTAGGCAACGCATATGCAATTGCGTATGTCTATGGGCAACGGTCACTTCGCTATTTCAGCGATTACAGGTGGCCGCTCGCTTGTTTGCCACCTTATGATATAAAAAAAAATGTAGCCCACCAATCTTATATGTAAGAATTTGGTACCTACACCGCTTTAAAACGCAATGTTTGTATAATTATGCGACATTTTGCGGAGCTTGGTACTACTCGCTCTGTGTTAAGTAAATATAAACAGGTGCACTGCCTATGTAGTGTACGCTGTGTCGTGTTTTAAGCATACTTGAGGTGAAATAGTGAGGTTTTGAGACGTCCTTTTTGTGCTGTAGTATAGCTGTAGTATTCTACTATTTATGAATAAATGTTTTATTTCATTTTTTTAAGAAAATGTCTGCGTTCTTTGTAATTAAAAGATTTCTTTTTTTTAGTTAGTAGAACATTTCGTTTTGATTTCTAGATTGTTTTGTTGGTAGTTGTTTGTATGGGAAAACTGTAGAATGATTTTTCTTACATTTTATTGTTGGTCGTAATAATATCTTTATATATTTCTTGTTTAGCTTATGAAAAATATAAATCATTTTTTATCTTAATTCGGTTGTATTATAATTATGACCTCGAACAAGCATCCCCATTGGACGTAGTAATTATTTTGTATAGTATAGCAATAAAATTAGAAGCACCTTATCTGGCGCCCACATATGCCTATTACCATAGGTCTATTTGGACAGCGCCCACGGCACGAACCCACTAATGGTCGCCCATTGGGCGAGGCGACTAATTACACAACCGTACTGGAGAGTATCGGATAATGCAAACGTCTATTGTGCGGTTAACGCTGGCCGACTTTAAATGAGGCCGTTAAATAGTGGCGTGCCTGATTATGTTTATCGATATAATGTCGATATCGATGTTTTACGCTACATATGTAATTATTTACCAATGATTTTTACACATATCATGTACTAGCTGTAGCACGCGACTCCTTCCGCGCTGGGTTATAAAAAGTAGCCTATGTGTTCTTCCAGACTATGTTCTACATTTATGCCAAATTTCAGCTAGATCCATGCAACCGTTCTAGAGATACCTTCAAACAAACATCCATCCATACACACTAAACATTTACATTTATATAATAGTATTAGTTAGATTAGACGACTAGTGTCTGTCTTTTAAATGTAGCCATGGGGTTTTATTGTTGAAACACTTATGTAAAATTTTTATCCCCCCTAAAATTTTGTAGATGTGTTTTATCATGTTTTCAGCGAGATTTTGAATTAATTCCATTTGTTATATGTCGGTTATTTTACGATTTTCGGTTTTTTATACGTAGAAAGCGTTGCATAATTATTCAAAATTATTCTAGTACTTTCGAAATTAATGGACAGCACTAAAATAACAGAGAGCAGAGAATAAAAGAACAAATGCGAGCCATTTTTATTTTATTAACAATGAGATTCTGACTTTCTTTAAGGTATGAAATATATTTTCGTATTTTAAAGTTTTCCTTTTAAGTAAGCATTTTGAGTGATAATGTGGTACTCAGAATCATTTAGGTTACTAAAAGATTGTCCCTCCTCATATCCTTTTACAGTCTGAAACAATGTGTAGCATCTCAAACATAATTGCGAGCCGACAAAATTTTGAATGGAAATTATTATTTTTGCTCAAATTTACTCATATCAGAACTGGCATAATTTAATTTTTTATAACTCAAGGTGACCATATTTTTTTTTTTAAATAGAAGGTGGCAAACGAGCGAGCGGCCACCTGAAATCGCTGAAATAGCGAAGTGACCGTTGCCCATAGACATACGTATTAGTCAAGTGGAAAAATTGGGAAGGGGATGTAGTCTAGTAGTGACTAACTAGTCTCTGTCTCCTAGGCAAGAATGTTTTCGTAATTTATAATGTCGTCCATTGTCTTGTTTTAACGAGACGTTTATAAACGTGATGGAGAGCATAGTTGCACTGCGTACAGGCAGCTGCAAAATTATGTATACAATTTTAAAACTTTAGACATTCTTACAGCAAGTCTTCGATGCCAAAAATAACGTATAAATCTATGTTAACAGCAATATCTTCATATGTGTGTACATTATTTGAAAACCAAAGGCCTGTACTAGTTTCCAAAACTTTGTAATTGTATACATATTTATGCAGCTGACTGTACATATTTAATATATGTAGATACATTGTATTTGTGGCATGTCGCATGCGTGTGCGCGTTGCTTCGCCACTGCGGTATGTCATTACACGCGCTGCAGCCTCCGGTGACTCACTCCGGTTGTCGCCCGCGTCTCCATTGTGCGACGGCACGATACGACATGGTTTTGGTTACACGTGTTGCTTCTTTGTAGGTATTTAACATTGACTGTGGATTTTTGCTACAGTAATATTTGGATAAAATCATCTTTTAATTCCTCCCATTTTTATTGACAAAAATGAGATAGATTATTTTTTTACTAGTGTTACAACATAGTTTAATTTATTTTTAAAAGTCAATTGGTAGATTGTGATAAAGCATTGAGTAAAAAATTATCTATTGTTACATATGCTTTAAAAAATATATATTTATGTACCAAATCATATTTTTGACGTGTCGTGTCGTAGGTTGCGAATGGAGACGAGCTACCGCTACGGTCACGTGACCAGGGGACCATTCACCTAACCTCTGCTTTCAGTTCCGCTGCGAATCATTTGTGACATCGATTCGCTATAGTATAGTAGATGAGAGAGAGATAGATATTGTCGTTTTTAACATTCTCTACGAGAAAAATGAGATGGCAATAAATATTTTATATGGATATGTTGGTAGTGGAAATAGATCGCAAAGCATTCAAATTCCTTACTTACCTATTAAAGCAGGTATAGTTCGAATCAAATTTTGCAGGAGTATTATTTCCCATTAACATTTAAATTCTATTAGGGCTCATCAAAATGTATAACGTATTCTACAAATAATTTTACATCTCTTGAATTACTTCGCTGCTTGTTTACCATAATATATTTTGCATAAATCTATATGTCTAGGTATATTTTAAGATACTAGCTGTCGCCCTCGACTACGTCCGCGCGGATAAATACATAGCAGATACTTAGACCTACTGAATATTCATATAAAATTTCATAAAAATCGGTCAAGCCGTTTCCGAGGAGCATAGTAACTAACATTGTGACATGAGAATTTTATATGTGAGACTAGCTGTCGCCCGCGACTCTGTCCGCGTGGAATGAAAAAAAAACTTATTTAGTTTCCGCCTATTATTCGAATTTTTCTCACCTTTTAAACCTTCCCTAGACCTCCACAAACATTTCAAGACCGAGATAAGATTAATCCGTTTAGCTGTTCTCGAGTTTTAGCGAGACTAACGAACAGCAATTGATTTTTATATATATTTTATTTTAAAAATATTCATACATTTCTCTTTACGCTATAGATTTTTAGTTTACATAGTTTTTTAATCTTTAATCAAGCAATTTGTTAGTGACTTATACTTAATCTGTACCAAGAGTGCCCCTTAGTGACCATTTAATCATCACCTTGGTGACCATTGTATATCACATTAAAAGGAGACGTTTTTGAACGATATGTGAGATTGTTTTACGAAAAGTTTTTCAGTCACTTATCTCTTCGTCATGTGTAGACTATTCTTTCTGCCTCCCCCCTCCTGCCCCTTTCCCCTCGAAGGCTGATAAACCGGCGAGGGGGCGGCGCGCGCGCACCGCTACTGCCTCAGTCGCCTCTCTGACGTCGCACGGCACAGACGTGCGCGTTAATTTAACGTATTAATTTATTGTTATAAAGAATAAAGTGATGTGATAGTTTAAACGTTGAAGTGCAAGTGAAGTGTACGCAAAGGATTTCAGTTTGGATGTTATTTGTGAGAGTGAATCTCTTCTGGATTTTAATACCGTTGTGCCTCGCTCCGGTGGTTCTGTTAATAACCTGTGGATCTATAGTCGATGTAATAGTGGTTTTGCTAAGATTTTATACGACGGAAAGGTCACTTACCTTGATCGGGTGAAAAGACGCCTTGAAGTGTCTTATCTGCATCGCTATCTTTATATAACCTATTTTTGTGTGTTGATTTAGCTGCAATTGAAAACGTTCGTGAAATCGCATCGCAAGCCTTCTTTTTGAGTCATCCACTTCTCTGAATTTTTATTTGCTAACATAATTGTTTCGACATCCGACATAATACAAATCATTTTATGGAGTAGTGTTGGAGGAGAGTTTTTGTGCTGTATTATTCATCATATATTTAATGCCAAATTTAACTACATTGTATAATATGATATGGACATATTTGAAATGCCCCGGGATATAGGTTTGAGGTTGTAAATAGATTTCCGTTGCTTTGGTGACTTTTTAATTGTTTTTTTTTTTATTTGTCGTTGTGAATCAGTTTAAGAAACAATGGTTTTCTTTATGTTTACGCTTGATGTACGCTCCGGTTGGCACTCGGCGAGGTTGGGAGGTTTTGTTTGCAGTGAAACTGGCAACAATTGGACCTTGATATCCGGCGTTGCAACAGCCTGTGGTAATTACTGTTGCCCGATGTCGTTTTGTTTGTAGAATTAAAAACTGGTAAAATAAAAGGTCAAATTTTAAGTGTTTGACAAAAGTGTTTCGTAGTATAAGACTTGGTTTGACGTATTTGGCAATGCTTGGCATATATATAAAACAAATTTGACAAAATGTTTGTTTACCGCCGACTAAAGGTTGTTTATCGAATTAAACTAAGATTATACTTATTGGCATAATATTATTGTGTTTAAGGCACAGTTTAAGTATGCATAGAAGTATATTCCGTGCACGTCCTTGTAATGTAGGTTTTCTATTAAATAAATAAATGAATAAAAAAAAGGTTACATTGTGTTAATGAACAAAAAAATTGTGCTTCCAATTAATTAACTTTCAGATCGAATGTAATTTAAAAACCTACGTTCATAATTTGAATAAATTTAAGGTCGTTTTCATTGTCGCTTTGTGGCTTGTAACCTGTCTGGAATTTGTAATATTTGCTCGATTGCGGTTGGACCTGAATACGCTCCGTGGTGCTTGAAACAACGAGAATTATTTACACTCTATTTCATAGTACATTGTAGCTAAGCTAAGCTAGGCTATACAAGCTAAGCCAGGATAGGATAGTTAAACTAGGAATTGCCTTATTGCTATTAAATTATTCAAACTTTCGTGAGACATTATATTAAACTGATATATAAACACGGCTAAACACTCACGTATATACGTCCGGTGGCGGCACCGACTAGCTTCGAGCCCATCGGGGGCGCTTCATCAGGATGAGTGGTACTGGTATTATTTCAGTGAGCGACGGGCCGCGTCCGCGAATATATATATATATATATATGTGAGACTATGTAACAATGTTTACTCTTTATCGTTGTCTCACGTTTCCTATGTCCATATATTTTGCAATTATTTGCTAGTTTTATTACTTCGTTTCGGTAATTGCTCTGTATTTTTCGTGTAATTACGTGGGTTTTCACTGTCTAAATACAAGTGTAAGAATATATTGCTAACTCATTAATTTCAAGTTATATGAGTGAGATGGCAATATATCTCGGGCAAAGGAAAATTACGATAAGGTTATTAAAAATCAGAGTTCATGGATTAAGACTCTAAAAGATTAATTCGTATATTTTATTCTTTTACTACAAATCCGGTACAGGACGAGTTTTTTTTTTAATCTTTGAAGATTTTATGTTCGCAAAGGAATCGAGTTTCCTACCTGAGTTTTTATTATTCATGTCTATTGACTATTGTAAGGTTTATTGTGAATTTTTTAAATGCAGGTGAATGTTATTGTATAGCAAAATGCAGTTCTATGTCTTTGTGATAGAGTTGAAATTGCATTTATACGGTAGTGGTTACAAAATTGATCAGATACGCACAAGTTAGTGAACGTTTATCGACCAATTAGACTCGTACACGGATTTTCTATTAAAATAATGAATTTTATAATTTAAAATGACTAGGATATTATAAATTTTGTAAATGATTTTTTTTAATATTGAGAAAAGAGATTTTTGTTTAATCTTTTTATGAAACTCGTAAATTTTATTTTACACTAACGTCCGCGAATTCTTTATCGCGAAGTTAAGAAAAAATAGATTAAGTTGCTCTCATAGACATAGCTTATCTTCTAGTTAAAGTCCCGGTAAAATAAGTTCAGCCGTTTTAAAGATTACTCGGAACAAACGCGTATTGACGAACAGATGAACAAGACAAGACAGACAGACCGAAATCTATATTTCTTTTCTTTGTATTAGTTTGGATATTAAATGACACACGCGTGTTGTATGGAAAGTGTCATTATGCATAAGGCATGTTGACGTGATAGACAAATGAAAGTCTGATCGGTTTCATAGTTACACGTAAACAGTTTTTGCATCTGTACGCGGGTTACGAGTAAGATTTATAAGCGTTGATATATGGTTAAAAATGTTGGTTAAACAATCTGTGTCCCCTTTTACTGGTGGTGGCAATGTGTGCAATCTTTATGATTTTTTCCACTTTGTAGCACCAATACCTTAAAACTGCAAGAGGAAAATCCATGAACAGAATTTAACAGAGGTCATACTGGTGTTGGATGTCATAAGGATATTGCCACCTTACGTTTTTTTATTCCACTAAATATGATTGTTTTTTTTTCTTTAATAAAAGTTATTAAAGTACCCACAATAAACAAAAAAACGAGTTTTTTTTCCGAGACACAAAATTGCTTCTACTAGTTGAAGGGTTAAGCTGTGGGTAAACAGTAGAATAAATTTAAGGCATAATCCACACTCTTCTTTTATAATTTATCTTACTAATAAAATCAAGGCTAACTGCTGAAATCGGACTTTGTAACTAGATGCTAAGGGAGACTAGAGTTAGTGAATAATCTAAGTTATCGTGACCACTTTACGTCTGTGAGTGGGGTGGTAATATATGACAAATAAGGTAAGAAATGAATGAAGAATTAGTTTTCTAAAACGTACAAAAATCATAGAAAGCGTGCGACGCTGCATGGCGGGTGACATCACCGCGAGAGGGCGCTGTTATCGCGCGTTATCAACACGATAACATTAACGACGCGATATAAGACAAGTGTTGAGAGATTACAAATCTAATATTAAAACAACAAATGAAATTACACTCTATAAGTATAAAGAATAAGGTGCATAATAGTATGATACAAACATGTTTTACAACTACCAAATATCAATTGTTTTGTTTGGCGAATAAGGACGCGATAGTGTTTGGTTCAATTGTAAATCGTGTTGCCAGTAAATCGTCGATTTAGAAACTTGATTTAATATTGCGTGGGTATTTATTTGATACGCCATCTGTCTGCTAGTATGTGCTAAATTTAAATCTATATTAAATATCCTTTAAGTGAATTGGTCATCGCGTTAATAATGGAATAAAGATGGACATTGAACTTTCAAGGTCGCGTCACGTTGAAACGCATTTTAGTTACGCAAAAGAGAGAGACAATGCAATGTTTAGGTTGTGCGAAAGAGAGCGGTATACACTTTACAGAGAATTGACATCAGAATTATTTGTAGATAAAATAATTGAAATTAATTATTTCTTAATGTCACTAGTAGAGGTCGACCTGTGACTGACCGTCGGTTTCCGAGACCAAATTCTTTGTTTAAAATATATTGTTATCTCTGTTTTGTCAAAGATAATGATAGGAATGAGGATATGTTTTATACAGAGGTTTTAGTTAATAACTCCGATTTCTCGCGTTTCAGATTAGAAACATGACAATATCCACCGCCCATACATTAGAATTTTTAATTCGACTAAATTAACGAAACGGATGTAAATAATTGAACTAATTGCTAAATGTGGTCATGTATTTAGCAGGTCTAATTTTATCTTAATAATTATTTTATGGGTTTGATACTTGAGAACCTGACTACTGATTTTCGAACGATGTTACTTCAATCGCGAATAAATTAAGACATGCTAAGATTTGTTACAATTATAATAATATTATCTGTCGCCCACGACTCTGTCCGCGCGGAATTAAAAAAAAACTTAATTAGTAGCCTATATATTCCTACAGACTACGTTCTACATTTGTGCTAAATTTCATCAAGATCCGTAAACCCGTTCAGGAGATTCCATTCAAATTAAAAAAATCATTCAAATTTAACGATTTTTTTTAATATTGAGCATCTTTTTTTCGTAAAGAACTTGCATCTCTAAGCGATGGTGGGATCCTGAATAGTTAAAAAGTTTACAAAACCCGCTTTCACGTCGTCCATGGCCATTGAGAGCCGCCATCTTTGTCAGCTATTCATGTCGCGAGAGAAAAGCGCTGGATGTCACTCTGTCACACCGTTTGCGGCGACTGTGACCCAATTAGATGCACTAGGCCAGCACTAGTAAGCCACAAATGACTGACGGTGGAATTAAAATTCAACTTGACTGAAATTCTTGACTTAGCCAGAAACTTGTAAGATAAAAATGTTTATTTGACAAGATTGCGTTAAGGATTTCTACGCATGATCATGGTTTCTGGTATTGTTTAATATCAGTGTTTGATAAAAGTTAACGTTTTACTGACAATATTATCTGTAAGGAGTCATTTAATTCATTCAATCATCGTTGGTTTCTGAGAACAATATCTTTGTATAAATATATTGTTATCTCTGATTTATCAAAGATATTGAGCGTCGATGGCTCATTAGTCAAGCACTTGACTTGCAATCTGCAGGTCCTGGGTTCGAATCCCGCCATGTACCAATGTGTTTTTCGATTTCCGATTTACATATGTACATTTATCCGACATTCTTACGGTGAAGGAAAACATCGTGATCCAACCTGCACATATCTTAGGAGAAATTCCGTTGACTATAGCCTAATCACCCTTAACTTAGAGAAGGCTTCGAAAGGCCCTCGGCGTGGACGTATAGTGAGCTGATGATGATGATTTAGTCTCGG